CAAGAAATCAAATACCAATAAAAAAAGGGGGTACAGAACTAAACAGAGAAATCTCAACAGAGGAATCTTGTATGGCCAAGAAGCACTTAAAGAAATGCTCAGCTTCCCTAGTCATGAGGAAAATGCACACCAGTCGTAATGGCTAAGATCAACATCTAAAGTGACAGCACACACTGCTGAGGGTGTGGAGAAAGAGGAACACTCCTCCACTGCTGGTAGGAGTGTAAACTTATATAACCACTTTGGAAATCAATGTGATGCTTTCTCAGAAAACTGGGAATAGCTTTACCTCAAGACCCACCTGCACCTCTCCTGGATATATACCCAAAAGATGATCCACCACACAACAAGAACACTTGCTCAATTATGTTCACAGTAGCTTTATTCACAATAGCCAGGATCTGGAAACAACCTAGATGTCCCTCAACTGAAGAATGGATAAAGACACTGCGGCACATTTACACACTGGAATACTACTCAGCTATTAAAAACAAACAAACAAAAAAAATCATGAAATTTGTAGGCAGATAGATGGAACTAGAAAAGAAACTCTTGAGTGAAGTAATCCAGACCCACAAAGACACACATACTATATACTGACTTATAAGTGGATTTAGCCATATGGTACAGGATAAGCATACTACAAGGCACAGATCCAAAGAAGCTGAGTAACATGGAAGACCCAAGGGAGATGCATAAATCTCACTCAAAAGGAGAGATAGAATATACAGAGATACTGGCTGAAGAGAGGGAACAGGGTCAGAGAGAGGGCACAGAGAGTTAAGAGGGTGGAGATCAGACCTGGAGAGGTCAGGGCAAGAGGACAGAGGCCTATACAGAAAAGAGAAACTGGGGGAGGAGGGACATGTCTGTGAGAAGTTGGAGACCGAAGTCAGGGCAGGCTCCTGGCAGGATGTGAGGGGGATTCAACCAGACTCTTAGTAGCAGAGGCCATAGAGACTGAAGAGAACATCCTCTAATTAGACTAGTCTCCTAGCAGAGGGTGGGGTATACCAACCTACCCACAAAACTTTGACCCAAAATTTACCCTGACTCCAAAATGTGCAGGTGTAAGGATAGAGCAGATAGAGCGGAGGTTGAGGGAATGCCCAACCAATGCGTGGCCCAACCAAAGGCCCACCCTATCGGAGAGTGCCAACCCCTGAGACTATGAAAGATACTCCGCTAAGCTTGCAGAGAGGAGGCTAACAGAGCTGTTCTCTGAGAGGCTCTACCTAGAAGTACCTCAAAACAGATACTGAGACTCACATTCAAACACTGGCCAATGCTTAGGGAGTCTTGTGGAAAGTGGAAGGAAAGAGAAAACGACCTGGAGGTGACAGGAGCTCCATAAGAAGACCCAGAGTCAACTAATCAGGGCCCCGAAGGGCTTGCTAAAACTGAAGCATCAACCAAGGACCATGCATGGACTGGACCTAGGCCCTCTACAAAGATGTAGCAAATGGGCAGCTTAGGCTTCATGTGGGACCTCTAGTAAGGGAAGTGGGGACTGCATCAGACACAGACTCACTTGCCAGCTTTTTTATCACTTCCTCCTGGCAGGACTGCTTTGCCAGGCTACAGAGAAAGAGGACACACTCAGTTCAGTCCTGATGCAACCTGATGAGCTGGATGGAAAAGGGAGCTCCCCTTTTCTGAGCAAAAGGGGAGGGAGCAGGAGGTGAGGAAGGATGGGGCTACAACAAGGATGTAAATTGAACAAATAAAGAGTAGTGACTGATCTTCCAAAGGACCTGGGTTCAATTCCTAGCACCCACATGGAGGTTCACAACTGTCTGTCACCTCAGTTCCAAAGGAGCTGATACCCTCACACAAATATACATGAGGGCAAAATACTAATGCATGTAAGATAAAAATAAATAAATTATTTTTAAAACTCTGGAGGGGAGAGAATCACCCCTATCAGGAGGGGCATGGGAGGAGAAGAGGAAGGGAGGATAGGATTAGGAGGGGATAAGGAAGGGGACTACAGCTGGGATACAAGGACATTTGCTCAACCATGTTTGTAGCAGCTTTATTCGTAATAGCCAGAATCTGGAAACAACCCAGATGTCCTTCAATTGAGGAACGAATAAAAAAAAAATGTGGTACATTTATATAATGGAATACTCCTCAGCAATCAAAAACAAGGAAATCATGAAATTTGCAGGCAAATGGTAGAAACTAGAAAAGATCCTGAGTGAGGTATCCCAGAAGCAGAAAGACACACATGGTATATACTCACTTATAAGTGGACATATAATATAGGATAATCATACTAAAATCTGTATACCTAAAGAAGCTAAGCAAGAAGGAGGAACGTGGATAAGATGCTCAATCTTCATTCAGAAAGGCAAATGGAATGGAATAGAGAATGGAAGAAGGTGAAAATAAGGAACAGGATAGGAGCCTACCACAGACAGCCTCTGAAAGACTCTACCCAGCAGGGTGTTAAAGCAGTTGTTGAGACTCATAGCCAAACTTTGGGCAGAGTGCAGGGAATCTTATGAAAGAAGGGGAGATAGAAAGACCTGGAAGGGTCTGGAGCTCCACAAGGAGAACAACAGAACCAAGAATTCTAGGCGCAGGGGTTTTTCTGAGACTGATACTCCAACCAAAGTCCATTTATAGAGATAACCTGGACCCCCTCACAGAGGTAGCCCATGACAGCTCAGTCTCCAAACGGGCTCCCTAATAAGGGAGCAGGGGCTGTCTCTGACATGAACTCAGTGGCTGGCTCTTTGATCACCAAGCCACAGAGGAGGACTATGAAAGATAGCCCTGATGAGACCTGATAGGCTAGGGTCAGATGGAAGGGGAGGAGGACATCCCTTATCAATGGACTTGGGGAGTGACATGGGAGGAAATGAGGGAGACATGGGACGAGATGAGGGAGGGAGGATCCGGATTGGGAAGGAATGGGGGGGGGGGGCTATAGTTGGGATACAAACTGAATAAATTGTAATAAAAAATTATATTAAAAAACAAAATGAATAAATTAATAATTAACTAAAAAATAATTTTAAAAACCTCTAATGGCTGATCTATCATTTATCTATATCATACTTGTTCAATTGACTTTAACTCTTTTCATACCTTGCTTTTGGTAACACTTATGCTATACCTCCATTAGACCACGGTCAACTATAAATTGAAGAAGCATTCACATTTACATTTTTTTATCCAAGTTACTACTGAAAATACTGAAGAGAGTATACTGAAGGAAAGAAGCTAGTAACACTGACACACACTCACAAATACACATCACACACACACACACACACACACACACACACTTACATAATGCCTGCATCTGGGAGTATAGAGCGAAGAATTTGAAAGGTGAATGCAAACAAAGTAGGATGGGAACAGCAATTGCTCAACAAAAGTAATTTAGATTATAAAATTCAGCTTACTAAAATGTCTGTCTTCCATTGGTTTGAACATTTTCTTAACCAAACTCACCAAGAGACAAATAATTTGAAAAGACTAGCTGATTGATCCAGGAGACCCTGGGCACCTCCCACAAGAATGAGTCTGATAGAGAAGCAACACTGTTTGATATTTACTAGGGAATGAACAGCCTGACATGGTCTCAGCCTACGCACACTTTACTTTCAAAAGATGATCTTCAGTATAAACAGAAATCAAAATTAAAGCTTCTGAGAAATCCACTGTTGTTTGGAGAGGGCACAAAATCAAAGTGATCTGTATTTTTAATATTACATCTCTGTAAGGAATTTTCAAGCCCCAGGCAAACAATTGATTTTTCATGACATCCTGGCAACATAATGGATCGTGAAGGTGTTTTATCAAAAGTTAATGGGATATAGGGGAAGGAACACCAAATTTGGATTGGAAAAAAAACAGAGCCAGATTTGAGTTTTTAATGCAGGTCTCAGACATCATGATGGTTTCAAGCAAAACAAAACCACAAAGAATCACTGAAGAAAATAATGTAAGTTAAAAAGTACCATTTAGTCTTCATTAAAGCATTGTTTCTCCCAGTACATAGTAAGCTCCTTATGTGACAATTATCTTTCCTCCATTTCTTGTACCAGTACAATCTGACTCACACACTGTGCTATTCTCTTGTACAAGCTAATGACCACCCAGAAAATACAGCAAACAAGAGGAAGGACCATTAGAACTTCATGAATAGTTGGGCAGGACCAAATTCTGTAATATGAAGCATTCGGGTTTAATTTTTATATAGCACATTTTATATACATACATATATATACATATATATATATAGTATATAAAGTAAGAGTCTAGAAAAATGGCTCAGCAGGTAAGAGCACTTGGTGCTCTTCCAGAGGTCTCAGGTTCAATTCCCAGCACCCACATGGCAGTCCATACTGTCTCTCAGCCCAGTTCTAAGGACCCAATGCCCACTTCTAACTTCAGTGCGTCCTGCACGGAAGTAGTATATAGACATATATGCAGGCAAAATACCCACAAACATAAAATAATAAAATAACTATAAAAAGAAAACATTTAAATATATAATAAAATATAAATGGATCAGGTATTTTATATATCTGTTATATATATGTGTGTGTGTGTGTGTATATATATATATATATATATATATATATATATATATATATAATCATGCATAACTGTAAGTCATCAGCCATAGAGTAGACTTGCAACACTAAGACACTTTTGCCACCAATAAGTGGTAAAAATCCCATGGGATCACTTTCTTATAAACTCATCCTGAAGAACATCCCTATACATAGCAAGACCCTATGGAGTTTAATAGTTCAAACATATTATGTAAACAGAAAACATACACGGTGTTCTCTGCATGGACACAATCACCACTAAAGTGAACAAGCAATTCCTATGAAGGGTCTTTATTAAACTTATCATGTTCCCTGAAGTGTTCAGTCTTTCCCAAGAGCAAAGTCAATGCCTTCATCTTGACAATGGAGTTTTGTCAATTTCATATGTAAAAATACCAAAGAAATAATCAAAAGGACCCATGTTACCTGGGTTTGTAGAGGGAATAACATAGGTGCTTTGTTTGAACTCTTTTGGCTTGAATAAATATTCTCATCCGAGGGTTGAAATACAGAACAGCTGTGTAGGCTCTGAATGACCGTCTCTCTGGAAATCTGAAATAGAAAATGCCAAAGGTCACAATGTAGAGGATACAATTCTCTCCAAGAAGAAAAAAATAATCAAATGTACTCCAACTAAGCTTTATCATAGTTATTCTTCTTTTGCTATGATAAAACATTATGATCACAGCAACCAGTATAAGGAAGGGATTACACAGGGTCAGGGTTCATCACGGCAGGGCAGCAGGGCAGCAGGGCAGCAGACATGTTGGCTGGAGCAGCAGCTAAGAGCTTACATATCAAACCACAAACAGAAAGCAGGGTGAGCTAACTGGGAATTGTAAATTCTGCTGTATGAAATCGGACATTTCTACATAGCCCTGCGCTTGGTCTAATACAGTGGACTCCATTTTCTCAGCTCTGTTCTCTCTCCACCTGATGTGATAAGCCCAGACCTCGTATGGAGCATCACCTAGCGCCCAGAGAAGATTACAGGCCTGACCCTCTCCTGATAAGCCAGCACCTGGGGATTCCTGGAAACACCCACCCTATGCTAATAAGAGGTCTTGGTGTCTTGACTTTCCAAATGATCTTTGACTTTACTTGGAGATTTTCCCCCATTCATAGGATAATTAGGTACTGAGTTCTCCTTCTTGTGAGAAGCCCCATGCTACTGCATGTAAATGAAGCACTTGTACCACTGTATTTAAATCAAGTATCCCTGGAACACACACAAACCCTGGCAAGCCAAACATTCAACCTCAATACTCCTCCCACTGCCCAAAATTTATAAATCCCTGATTTCAAATAAATGTGCTGTGTGCTACTATCAGCTTTTCACCACGGCAGCTAGACATTCATTATTTATTTTGGGGAACAGAGGTTCCACTCCTCCCTGGAGAATAGCCACTGAACACCTGAACTTGGCTGCCATTTAAGTAGCTACCTGCCCAACACCTCAAGCTTGGGGCTTGACTGCAGATTGGTCACATGCTGCTGGCTGCAGCGGGCTTCTGCCTTTCACTGGTGTGAGGCACTGCTTCAGCAGCTGCTGACCTGCATCTCACTGGAAAACGGGCCTGTGCTGTACTTAGCACAGCAGCTAAAGCAAGGATCTGTAGCAATTTGGTATCATCACAGGCTTCCGGAACTCTCTAATTTCTTTTGCCCCTGATACGGGCAATCTCATTTAAAAGAGCTAAACTGTAACACTCCGTGGAAAGTTCTTTCCACACCCCTGCCTAGTGCATGGGCCTCGCTCTAAATCGATCTAGCCATTCCTGAGATCCTGGACCTTTGATTCCTCAGGATGCAGCATTCCAGGAATGGCCTAGGCTTTTGAAACCTCAAAGTCCACATCCTCAAGTGATACATCTCCTCTAAGGACATACCTCCTTCTCCTTCCCAAACAGCTCTACCAACTGGATACTATGTATCCAAACCTATGAGCCCATGGGGTTCATTCTCATGCATATTACTGTATGCTCTTAGATGCTTTGCTTCTAGAACTAATGATGCTGCAAACACAAGCAAATCTTACAACATCCACTGCACTAAGTCTCTGAACAGAAGGCAAACAGAAATGATGTATGCTCTGGTTAGAACTGAAATTTGTTGCCAACTAACCAATTCCACGAAGACATATCAATGACAGAAAATATATTTTACAAAACTTACCGAGCAAGTGACACAGAACAACAAATTCAAGCAAACAAACAACATAATCTTCCTGATCAAACATAACTCGGAGATTGTCGGCTCACGTGAACAAAAAGAATTTCTACTAATCAGTTGTGAACAGAAAAATGAAATTTAAAAAAAAACTCTCATTTGCTCTCAGAACTTTGAAGGGGACATATAAAACTTAACTCCATACGTACAACCAGTATTAAAATAAATACTTATCGTCAGATGAGACTAACATGCTGGGTGAAAGAAGAGAAAGAGAAAGAATAGAAGACAATAAAACAGGAGTAAAATCAACGTCAGCAGCCTGAGGAAAACTACCGTGGCAAACAGCACACTGCCGGGAGGTTGCATGAACACTGTGCCTGCTAGCGGGCCTTCCATAAAATCCCCTGGTGAGCTGTAAATACTCTCCAATTAGACAGGAAATGTGGGACAGAAGCTAACTGAGCTAGGCTTAAGAGGCGGCATTCTGCGCTTTTACAGTGCAGAAAAGGCTCCAAGGTTAAAGAGAGATTAGGGGAGCCATTCTGCCTGGTCCAGAAGGAGACAGAGATGATGAAGTGAAGCTAGGAGATGCCTCTGAGGGATCTGCTCAGCAAGCACTCAGTCCAAGGGCGGAACTCCAAGGGATGCTGAAGGTGAAGCCCTGAGTAATCCAAGGGCTTTCTGATAAGATATAATTTCCTTTGGACACCATCTGAAACTCAACAGAAGATAAGGAACTTCTTTTAATTATTCAAACTTTCTGACATGAATTATGTCAAAGTACCTAGTACGTGGCTATTGTGCCATAAATATCAATGCACTTTTTAATTTATTTTTAAGCCAGCACACAAAGTAACGGGTTTCTCTATTACAGCATTTCCATGCGTGTATGTCATCACTAATGCATTTTTAATGTAACAAGAGAAGCTATCTGCATTATGGTATTACACTATTATAGTGCAGCTCCATTTAGTACCCCAGGGGTTAGACAATTCAATATCTCTTCACTTAGTCAAGAAAAGAAAAACAGGAATTCTTGTGATGCTATAAACATTCCAAGGAATCCTGCCATTGTTGAAATCTTTTCTGACTGTGTGATTTGAAATTGCCCTGGAGCTGGTAATTCCTTTTTTTTTTTTTTATACCCTTATCAAAATGGACACACCACTGTCATTTGAATGCTAAAGGCAAGAGCAGTTCACAGAGACTGGGGATTTTGATCAGTGGTAGAGTGATTGCCAAGCATGCACAGAACCCTTGGTTCAATTCCCAGTATAGCAAAAACAGCAGCATAATTTAGAACATAGTTTACGAATTGGGAAAATATAATGAGAATTAAAAAGTGATTAGTTCTGGTATAGATTATCCCTCCCACACACACAACATATGAATAATGGCATATGAAAAGTCATATTTCTGTTTGTTTTGAGGCCCAGGATAACTTTTTTTCTGTGTAGTCCTGGCACTCTCTATGTAGGCCAGCCTGGCCTCCATTTCACAGAGATCCTCCTACCTCTGCCTCCCAAGTGCTACGATTAAAGGTTTGCACTACCATGACACTCCTCAAGACGACTTTGGTCCTACAATCCTCTTGCCTCAGCCTCCTTAGTACAGGGACTACAGATGGGTCACTGTGCCCAGATAATTCCTCTACCTGTTGATGCTGCATGTCTTAGTTCAAAACTATTTATAGGTAAACAGATACAGCATGCCAGTCAGGGGTCCTCAAGGCCTTCCTTCTGTGGGACAGCCCACTGGGAGGACTCACGACTAAGATCTGTTACAGATCTGTCGAGGATACACATAGGTGCAGAGAGGAAAATGGGGAAGTCTGGAGGAACCCATTTGCCAGCTTCCTTACATTTTTTTTTTTTTCATTTACATCAGTTTTTCATTGCTATGATCAGGTATCTGATAGAAATAACTTGAAGAAGGAAGAATTTATTTGGGTTCCTAATTCCAGAGACTTAACTCCATGATCACCTGGCCCCACACACTTAGGAAGAACTGTCACGGTGGCAGGAGTGTGTGGCTTTTCATGTCATGGCTAATCAGGTAGCTGAGAGCTGAACAGGACAGGGCCTAGATAACGCACCTCCAAGAACAGTTGCACAATGACCTACCTTCTCCAGCTGGGCTTCATTTCCTAAGCCTCTGCAACCTCACTTAACACTGCCTCATGTTGGAATCCAATGATTCGATACATGAGCCCTTTGGGGAGACATGGCATTTCCCTTTCAGGAAGGTCCACACAGCACCATTATTCCCAGCTATGAAAATGTAGTAACATACACAGTGTGTTCCAGCTGAGGGAAATCCCTCAAAGACTCACAGAGTACAAGACCTGGGGTTGTGGGATCTGTTAGCATTAAGCACTTGCTACCTATGACGTGTCCAAGTTCCAAAGTGCCAGAAGGAAAGTGTGCTTTGGGGTGAAGTCATTTCTGTTGCTGTAAAAAAGATCCTGACAAAAAGCAGCTTAGTGAAGATGGAAGTGTTTTGGCTTATAATTCCGGGTGAGTTTATTATCCCAGAGAAGTCATGGCAGGGATTTGCACCCACTGTCAAGATCTGAGTGAAAATTCCATGTGTGAATCCTCACCTACTTCCTCTCAGCTACATTTTTCCTCTCTCCTGTATTTCAGGGCTCTCTGCCTAGGGAATGGTGCGGCCCACAATGAGCTGGGCCTTCCTACATCAACTAACACTCAAGACAGTCCTCCACAGCCATGTACAGAAGCCAACAAGATACAGAGAGTTTCAAATTAGGACTCCCTCACCATGTGATTCTAGTGTGTGACAAATTGGCAGTTAACTTGACCAACACAGTCTGGTTCTTTGCATAGTAGAGATGTAGCAAGGGAACGTTATCAGTTAAATGAAATTCTATCAGTGTTGGGAATTTAAGCTACCAGAAGCCAGTAATGGGCCAACCTTACAAGTCAGCTCTTCTGAGGATCAACGCAGCCTTACTTTCTGTTTTAACAAGCAGAATGGTAAAACTTCTCATTTGTGAACTCTGCGGTATAAAGAAAGCAGGGCTAAATGCAGAATGAAAAGCTTCTTCATGTTCTGGGCAAATTAACCTTGTAGCCTAGTCTTGAATAGCCCTTTACAACTACCCGAAGTTTTTTAACGAGTTTAAACACCATGTCATCTCCAGCCCATGGCATATGCCATTCTTGCTCAAGCTTGGCTAGCTCCTTCAGACCTCTCCAGATGCATCCTGGAAATCCCACTCCCACTGAACTCCTTCCTCACTTCCAAAATGGTAAAGCCCTCTCCTGTGTGCTTCCCTCCTTCTGTAATTGACACACTACCTGTGTATTTGTCTTTCCATCAGGCTGTAAATTCCATGAGGGTAGTGACCTCCTCCATTA